TAGGTTGGATTAATAATTAGGTCCAACCCCTATTGAGTTTGGCTTGGACAAGTATAAATTAAAATAACCCAGGAAAAAGACCTGCAATGTTTTGGCCATAGTGCCCTATTCCTCTTGAAAAAGAGCAAATGACTCATAAATGACTGGTTCCAAAAACAAACCAGGCATGAAAAAAACACACCTTCCCATTCCCCATATTAGAAAAAATTTTAGAGAGTACATACTTCCTGAAGATGTTTAAACTGATTAAGAATTTTATGAGGCCAAAAATATTGAATGATGATGTGGTTGCTCTTTACAACCGAGTATGATTAAGAAATCAATTAACCAAAGGTTCGATCACCTGCTCCTGGAGAGGATGGTAAAACCTATGATATTCTCTCAGAACTCTGGGCAACGGTGCCTGATAACCCTTGTTGGGCAACAGTATAATCTCAGTTACAAATTGAGGGGGCGTTCCATCCTACTTCCTGACCAAATAGTCTCATTGTTGCCTATTCCCTAATCCCCAACAGCCAGATACATTTAGGCCGATCTCCATTAACAAGTTGTCTTTTGTAAAACTATTGAAAGAATGATGCTTAAAACAGACTGTACTACCAGAATCAGACCTCCAACTTTTTTTTTCCCTTCCCTTCCCCTACCTCTATGGGTTCCACATGAAAAGGTAATAGTGAGCAGGAAACTGTATTTTTTTTCCTTCCACCTTTCCTCACTGCAACACACACCTCTACTAGTTTTTTTAATTTATTAAAAAAAATTTACCACTTTCCTTGATTCTAAAATCTGCATTTTAGATAATGTGAACGAGAACCGTTATACTACATGAACTAGCCAAAATGAATAATGGTGGTCTAGCTATACTGCTTACTCTGCTGGATAATTAGGATACCTGTACAAATAGAGTATCCCTCTGGTCCCTTTACCAAAGCATCCAAGAAGAGAATCGAAAGAAATGGCTTTTAGGTCCAAAACACACCGCAGGGAGGAGTTCTTAGTCCCATGCTATTTAATATACTGATTAGTGCTCCTCCTAAATCATCTACCTGCCTCACCTAAAACATATAGCTATAAAGCTATGCTGATGATATCACATGATCCATACAACAGGAGGTGGCAAAAGAAGAATGAATATCACATTTCTTAATGAAGTTCAAGCAATTTGTAATCGACTAGGCCTCATAATATCACCCTCCTAAACAACGACATTAACAAGCAAACGAAACACTCTCCCCCCCCATCTATTTGGCAGGGTAAATCATTAGCTACGTAAAACTTACAGATAACATTGGGTGTAGAGATGTATCTCTTTAACAAATCCCACTATAACAACCACCAACTAAACAAAAATGTAAATCTAGGCTAAATAAATGCTCTCAAAGAGCTTTGCTGGCTACAATTCCCAAACCTATGGTGCTAAAGTGATAACGTAGAATGATGTACATAGCCAATGTTAGGTCCTTAATTGATTAATGCCTGCTTCCCAATGGTTATATTACTAGAGAAAGTTCTCTCCCGACCCTTGGAGTTAATGCAAAAAGAAGCCTCTCAGGATTAATCTTGGCTGTAGTCCCAAATTCTACAAAGTTCTTACATGGAAGGAAGGAGCTTGGTATTTCTATTACAGTGATTGATTGTTGAAATTAACACTGTACTTTCCGGTATTAGAAATGTTGAAAAACGAACCTGACACTTGTCACTGTGAATCTTACCAAGTGACTAGAGGTAGAATGCACACTAGATCCATAAATGGATTGTGAAAACGTTGGCAATTGCATTAAGATTTATTAACCTGCATGCACTGTATCACTGTAAGTCGAACAAGCGATATCTCACCCCCTCCATGAAGATGTGTTCATTTTAATAGACACAAACCTAACCAAGTCCCCTCGCCCAAGAAGCACATTGCAGTAATCTCCCCTTCTAAATACCTCTTGTTAAGCAACTCCGTCAAGACGAAATTTCTTCCTCTCACCAAGCTGTAGTAATAGTTTTATCACAAGTTATATAACACTGATTGGATCAGAACAGGAGTCTTCTGGCATGGCTGCAATCTGCTCTTGTTGCCCACCACCCCCTCCCCTCCCTAGTTAAGGAACGATAATAATTTGTTGAGTTAGGCATAAGAATTAACTAAAACAGGGCGTCTACACTGCAAACTGAAATTGTTTTCAATCCTAATGGCCGCAAAAGCTTAAAACCATGAGACACAGAGCTTTGACTTGTCCATCATTAACTGATTCTATGACAATCCATTGAAGCCTCTTTGACCTCATATAATGACTCCAACACAACATGCTCATTGTTGGAGAGCCAGGTACAGTACACAAAAATTAGGGACAAAGGAATTAAATGTACAATTGCTTATGGATCCCCATCACACATTGGATTACTCCTTCTTCATGATAAAGTTTGATAATGTTAGCCAAGAAGAGTACCCAGAAGGAAAAGAATTGTAGAATATAACTTTTTTGGTATAACTGTGTCTAGAGCATTAGGAATAATATTTAGGAGAGGAAGTAACTTCAATGAAAATTGATTGTTATAGGAATGCAGTTAGAAGCCTGAGTAGATCTATACCCACTATGATAACAAGAACGTAGATAAGTATGTGTTATTATGGAGCAACTTTGCAAGTGTTAACAGACTGACTGATGTTGTAAGTGGCCCGAGGCTTAGGCTTGGTTTACAAGTACTTCTGGCATTTTTGGAGACACCACAGATTGGATGATCAAACTAAATGTAAATTATGGTGATCGGCATATGGTCACTTCTCTTGAACCACTAATCTAAGTGCTTAAATAGTCCACTTATTTGAGGAAATACAGAGACAGACAGTATAATAACCAATGAGGACCTATGTCCAAGAAATCTTATTAATGAGAGAAATAAATTACCAGCATATAACTAAGCAAATTCCCTTCCTAAATTTGCTTTTGAACAAATAAGTAACTATAGATAATGTAGAGATAAATCCATAAGTGGTCTTGTGGTCTTGTGTGCCGTAAATTCCGAGGAAAGAAATGCAGACATGAGGAGGTTTATACATTACAAGAGGAAGAGGAGCCACACAACAGCTGGATGCCCAGCAGTAAGGGGAACGCCACCCCCAACTATGCAATCTGATGGCAGCCAGAAGCGCGACAATGGTATCACGACCCTTCAAGCCTGGACAGATGGGAAGCAGGTGGTGTGGGACTATACAATGTGCAACAACCTTGGCTGAAACCTATCCGTCCAATAACACCAGGGAAAGGGAAGGAGGGCAGCTGCCAGCTTCAGGGAGTCCAAAATCAAAAAATTTATGGAGAACCTTGCCCATCATTATATTTTTTGTTCCCATAGGCTCAGAGAACCCCCTTTGGGCTCATGGGGAAAAGAGGTGCAACTAATTCCTTAAGGAGCTAGGGCAAAAGACCTCATCATGGTAACTAGGGATCCCCAAGCAGCCATAGTTTTTTTTTCTTTTTCTGTGTTCCAGGCGCTCATGCGGCTGTTTCAACAAAAAGGGGTAATGCCTGCTGTATTTTTGGGCACACGCCCCACTCTCCATGCTCTTGAGGAGCTGTAAAGAGATTTTCGCCTTGTAATCGGTGATACACACGTAAACAACAATGTACCGGTATGTGCCACCTTTATTTATATCAAAGTTGTATTCCTCTGGATCTTCTGTACCATATTATGTAATTAAATAATCCTATTATGTAAAAAAAAAAGATGGGGGTAGGGGAAGAGGAATATTCAAAACGGCTTCAGGAAGAAACCCCAAATATTTTTCCTTGAAAGCCTTTTTTATCCACTTCTCCGAGGCTATGGGTCCCACAATTTACAAACCAGAGGTGACCCCACCTAATATATATAAATATAAAATTATGGACGTGCCGAAAAGGGCAGAATTATTTGCGATCTTGGCTTATAAATAGCAACGCTCATGCTTGCCATATATAGGACAAGTGAAAATTTGTGTATGCAATAATATTGGCCGCCAAAATAATATCATATCAACCTAACGGAAAAAAAAATATATTTCACTGTGTTTGTTTAGGTATTTTAAATTTCTGTAAACAAATCTAAAATATATTTAAGTTGGGTTAGGCTAAAATAAATAGGTTCTTGTTATAATAAGGTTAGGTAAGTTTTTTCTAAGAGTCTTTTTGGTGCAAAATTAAATTTTTTTTTTTAACATTAAAACATATAATGAAAAAATAAAAATATCTTTAAACGAATTAATAGAAAATTATAGAAAGGACTAATTTTAAATGATGTTTTCATGCTAATTTACCAGTTTACATATTCCGTCAAGACGAATATATATATATATATTAATATATACATATATAAAAATATATTATATATATATATATATATATATATATAAATATATATATATGGGCGGGCAATATATATATATATAAATATATATATATAAATATATATATTATTATATATATATATATAATATATAGAAGAGAGGAGAGGAGAGAGAGAGAGTGAATTGTATATCCTCAGTGTAAAAATAACGTTGATGGTGATCAGTGGTATATACACTAAGATGTGGTATATCAACAGTTTATTACTCTGAGAGCTTACTATAATTCCCTATTTCAGGCATAATGTATTTTTGACTGGGTGGTGTTTCCAGCATACATGTAGCTGCAAGGACCTTCGTGTAGTCATAGATTTTAAGCCTCATTAACCAACCTATAGGCCTAACTAAATCTTTTCTTGAGCACTTATATATTTCATATTCCCTAGGACTATGCCTAACAAAATAATATAGCTGTGGTTATGCGAATTAACACAGACTTAGATATTAAAGTAACAGAAGTTATAGGTAATTTACAATGGAAAGAAGTCATATTATTTGACTTAAATTGGTTATCCTAGGTTAGATTCTGCATATTTCGCTGTATACAACCATTGCAATATTTTATATGTGTGTATGAGGCCTAAATAAACAGTTATTCATGAGTTATAACAATATTATGAGTCACAGAGACATTAACGAGTGTTAGTGTTAGTGTCAACAAGTCAGTGAACACAACAGGCTGATACATCCACTACTCTTGGTAAATTATTATTTTTACATATAATTATATCCCCGGCATCACTTGTTTTCATCATACAAGTGACTCATAGCAAGTTGAAAACCCATGGAAATTTCTGGCCTGAGTGCATGTAAATACAAGTTTTTGTGCTTGTCATGCACGTGTATTGTACTGGACCACTGGTGGTGCAGGCTGGTGTAGGCCTACGTGTGTAGTAGTGTCAGGTGGTATCATAGGCTGGTGTAGGCCTACGTGTGTAGTAGTGTCAGGTGGTATCATAGGCTGGTGTAGGCCTACGTGTGTAGTAGTCAGGTGGTATCATAGGCTGATGTAGGCCTACGTGTGTAGTAGTGTCAGGTGGTATCATAGGCTGATGTAGGCCTACGTGTGTAGTAGTGTCAGGTGGTATCAGGCTGATGTAGGCCTACGTGTGTAGTAGTGTCAGGTGGTATCATAGGCTGATGTAGGCCTACGTGTGTAGTAGTGTCAGGTGGTATCATAGGCTGATGTAGGCCTACGTGTGTAGTAGTGTTTAGGTGGTTTTAAATCATAGGCTGATGTAGGCCTACGTGTTTTAGTAGTGTCAGGTGGTATCATAGGCTGGTGTAGGCCTACGTGTGTAGTAGTGTCAGGTGGTATCATAGGCTGATGTAGGCCTACGTGTGTAGTAGTGTCAGGTGGTATCATAGGCTGATGTAGGCCTACGTGTGTAGTAGTGTCAGGTGGTATCATAGGCTGGTGTAGGCCTACGTGTGTAGTGTCAGGTGGTATCATAGGCTGGTGTAGGCCTACGTGTGTAGTGTCAAGTATCAGGCTGTAATCTTTTGACTACCACCCACAGGATGGGTATGGTGTGACTACCACCCACAGGATGGGTATGGTGTGACTACCACCCACAGGATGGGTATTGTGTGACTACCACCCTCAGGATGGGTATGGTGTGACTACCGCCCACAGGATGGGTATGGTGTGACTACCACCCTCAGGATGGGTGTGGTGTGACTACCACCCACAGGATGGGTATGGTGTGACTACCACCCTCAGGATGGGTATGGTGCGACTACCACCCACAGGATGGGTATGGTGGACTACCACCCTCAGGAGTGGGTGTGGTGTGACTACCCCCCAAACAGGATGGGTATGGTGTGACTACCACCCTCAGGATGGGTATGGTGCGACTACCACCCACAGGATGGGTATGGTGTGACTACCACCCTCAGGATGGGTATGGTGTGACTACCACCCACAGGATGGGTATGGTGTGACTACCACCCTCAGGATGGGTGTGGTGTAACTACCACCCACAGGATGGGTATGGTGTGACTACCACCCACAGGATGGGTATGGTGTGACTACCACCCACAGGATGGGTATGGTGTGACTACCACCCTCAGGATGGGTGTGGTGTGACTACCGCCCACAGGATGGGAATTGTGTGACTACCGCCCACAGGATAGGTATGGTGTGACTACCACCCACAGGATGGGTATGGTGTGACTACCGCCCACAGGATGGGTATTGTGTGACTGCCACCCACAGGATGGGTATTGTGTGACTACCGCCCACAGGATGGGTATTGTGTGACTGCCACCCACAGGATGGGTATTGTGTGACTGCCACCCACAGGATGGGAATTGTGTGACTACCGCCCACAGGATGGGTATGGTGTGACTGCCACCCACAGGATGGGTATTGTGTGACTACCACCCACAGGATGGGTATGGTGTGACTGCCACCCACAGGATGGGAATTGTGTGACTACCGCCCACAGGATGGGTATGGTGTGACTACCACCCACAGGATGGGTATTGTGTGACTACTGCCCACAGGATGGGTATGGTGTGACTGCCACCCACAGGATGGGAATTGTGTGACTACCGCCCACAGGATGGGTATGGTGTGACTGCCACCCACTGGATGGGTATGGTCTGACTACCTGGAGTTTACCTGGAGAGAGTTCTGGGGGTCAACGCCCCCATGGCCAGGTCTGTGACCAGGCCTCCTGGTGGATCAGAGCCTGATCAACCAGGCTGTTACTGCTGGCTGCACGCAGTCCAAAGTACGAGCCACAGCCCGGCTGGTCAGGAACCGACTTTAGGTGCTTGTCCAGTGCCAGCTTGAAGACTGCCAGGGGTCTGTTGGTAATCCCCCTTATGTATGCTGGGAGGCAGTTGAACAGTCTCGGGCCCCTGACACTTATTGTATGGTCTCTTAATGTGCTAGTGACACCCCTGCTTTTCATTGGAGGATGTTGCATCATCTGCCAAGTCTTTTGCTTTCGTTGTGAGTGATTTTCGTGTGCAAGTTCGGTACTAGTCCCTCTAAGATTTTCCAGGTGTATATAATCATGTATCTCTCCCGCCTGCATTCCAGGGAATACAGGTTTAGGAACCTCAAGCGCTCCCAGTAATTGAGGTGTTTTATCTCCGTTATGCGCGCCGTGAAGGTTCTCTGTACATTTTCTAGGTCGGCATTTTCACCTGCCTTGAAAGGTGCTGTTAGTGTGCAGCAATATTCCAGCCTAGATAGAACAAGTGACCTGAAGAGTGTCATCCTGGGCTTGGCCTCCCTAGTTTTGAACAAACTTAGCCTATACCATACTTAAAATCTTCACAGTTAATTCATCATTTAAAAACCAATAAGAATATATAATTAATTGTTAAGTTTAGCAGAGTGAGGCTGGTGTAAGTCTACATGTGTAGTAATGTCAGGTTGTAACATAGGCTGGTGTAGGCTTAAGTATATTAATGCCAGGGTGTAGCATAGGTTGGTGCACGTATATATAAGAGATAAGATAAGGTTTCATTCGGATTTTTAACCCCGGAGGGTTAGCCACCCAGGATAACCCAAGAAAGTCAGTATGTTATCGAGGACTGTCTAACTTATTTCCATTGGGTTCCTCAGTCTTGTCCCCCAGGAAGAGACCCACACCAGTCGACTAACACCCAGGTACCTATTTGCTGTTAGGTGAGCAGAACAACAGGTGTAAGGAAATGTGTCAAAATGTTTCCACCCGCCGGGAATCGAACCCGGGCCCTCCGTGTGTGGAGCGGGAGCTTTAGCCACCAGGCCACCGGGCTGTAAAATAGGCTGGTGTAGGTTTGCATGTGTAGTAATACCAAGTTGTAGCATAAGCTGGTGTAGGTTTACTTGTGTAGTAATGCCAGGTTGTAACATAGACTGGTGTAAGTTTGCATTTACCTGGAGTTTACCTGGAGAGAGTTCCGGGGGTCAACGCTCCCGCGGCCCGGTCTGTGACCAGGCCTCATGGTGGATCAGAGCCTGATCAACCAGGCAGATTGTAACATAGGCTGGTACAGGTTTATGTGTGTAGTAATACCAGGTTGTAACATAGGATGGTGTAGGTTTACTTGTGCAGTAATGGTAGGTTGTAACATAGGATGGTGTCGACTTGTGTGTATAGTAAAGCCAAGTTGTAACATAAGATGGTGTAGGTTTACATGTGTAGTAACGCCAAGTTTAACATAGGCTAAGTTTACCTGTGTAATAATGCCTGGGTTAACATAGGCTGGTGTAGACTTACCTGTGTAGTAATGTCAGGTTGTAACATGAGCTGCTTGTTAATACTGCATTGGTTGTAAGTTAACTTCTCTGGCCACCCATGCCACCATACATGCCTCTGTAAATCAATTTGTGTTGGGTGTTTTCTATGCATGTGATATGCTTTTAGTCTAAGAAATTGGAGCTACCCTCCTCCCCCCCCCTCTCAGCTCAAATCTGTTAGTTTCCATAGGATCTGTTTTATACATGCATGCATGTGTGTGCATGTGCAAGTGTGTGTGCATGTGCAAGTGTGTGTGCAAAATGTCATTCACCTTTGTACAAACATTGTATCATGCTGAAATAAAGTGTATGTATATGGGAAGGTGGAGAATCCATTATATGATAATTCTCAAGTAACAGTAACTCCAGCTTTACCAGAACGAAACCCTTGGTAATAGGCTGGGGTACAGGCTCAGTGATAAGCTGGGGTGCAGTTTGAGTGATAGGCTGGGGATGAAGGCTCACTGATAGGCAGAAGGTGCAGCAGGCTCACTAATAGGCTGGGGTGTAGGCTTAATGATAGGCAGAGATAGGCTGGGGTGCAGGCTCAGTGATGGGTTTGGGTTAAGGCTCATTGATAGGCTGGGGGCACAGGCTTAGTGATAGATTGAGGATGGAGACTCGGTGATTTCCTACCACAGCTGCTAGGAAGATGATATGATAGATAATGAGAACCTTCAAAACTAGGGATGCCAAGCCTATGATGATTCTCTTCAAATCGCTTGTTCTCTCTAGGCTGGATTATTGCTGTACACTAATAGCCCTTTTCAAGGCAGGTGAAATCGCAGACCTGGAGAATGTACAGATAGCTTTCAATGCACAGATAAGTACGACAAAGCACCTAAATTACTGGGAACTGTTGGAGTCCCCTGATTTGTACTCCTGGAATGCAGGTGAGAAAGATACGTAATAATATACACTTGGAAAATCCTAGAGGGACTAGTCCCAAATTTGCACTCGAAACTCACTCCCTACGAAAGCAAAATACTCGGCAGGCAATGCAACATCCCCCCCAATGAAAAGCAGGGGCCCCATGAGTATGCTAAAACACTAAGTATCAGGGGCCCAAGACTGTTCAACTGCCTCCCAGCATGCATAAGGGGGATTACCAATAGACCCCTGGCTACCTTCAAGACGGCACTAGACAGGCACCTAAAATCAATACCTGACCAGCCAGGCTGTGGTTCATACGTCAGCTTCCATGCAGCCAGCAGTAACAACCTGGTTGATCAGGTCCTGATCCACTGTGAGGTCTGGTCACAGACCAGGCCACGGGTGTTGACCCTCAGAACCCTCTCCATGTGTATTCCAGGCTTAGTGATAGGCTTGGAGTGCAGACTTTGTGATAGGCTAAGGGTTCAGGCCTCAGCAATAGACTGGGGTGTAGACTTAGTGATAGGCTTACAGGTCCTGTGATAGGCTAGATTTGAACCAGAAATATTTTCACAGTTTTGTGGTTGAAGGCCAGTTTTATTACAGATGGGTAAGAACAAGAGAGTGTAAGTTCATGATTGTTACCATCAGAGGAATGCATATAACTCGTGGTTTCTTCTCTCCACACCTGAATCAATACTTGCATCAATGAGTGGCAGTGATTGCAATGATGATGACAATACTATACCTCTCCAAAATATTCCTTCAGTGACATGATTGACTAGTTGATAATACTGAGTGTGTTGTGTAAATGAGTGTTGATTATATTGCTGCCTAACTAGATCATGTAAAGTAGACTTGTCTTATTTCTTTTACTGAGGCTTTTTTTCTGCTCTCAATGCCTAAGGTTTATTTTTGTACTTTATATGTGATAAAAGTAAAAAATATTGCTTATGTCAATAAACATCATCAATTTCTAGGTAATATCAAGATATTATACCATCACCTACAGAATGGAAAAAAATGATAGTGTATTTTTTTGGTCTCATTTGCTATGTATAAGATGCGAGTGTGAGTGGTGTGAATGAAGCTTGTGAAAAGAACTCCTTAAAAAAACATTGTGCAATATACCATTTTTGCAACACTAGTGCTTTAGTATTGTTAAATTACATAACTAAATAGCAGTGGCATGCAGAGGTCTGGTGATGCCTGGGACTAACTCCTTGATTGTATGCCCTGAAGACTCAAGTATAAGGACTAGTACTTAGAAATATTATGAGAAAGGGAGATATTTTGAATATGTAAACACAGATGAAACATGAAATAAACACTTTATTCAATTTAAATATAAATTAACCAAATTTATTAAGTTCTTTTCCCCAAATGATACCTCCTGTCAGAAAACACTTGAACTACTTCACTTTTTACATCAGCTGTGAGAAATTCTTTTCCAGTGCTTATTAAAGCAAGGTTGATCAGTCGCTCCTGTGACATTGAAGACCTCAGATATATTTTTATTAATTTCAGTTTTGAAAATGACCTCTCACAACTTGTGACTGAAAATGCGGCTGTAAGCAGTAATCTGTATGAAACGCACAGAGCTGGAAAGACATCCCTCCCATACTGCAGTAAAGACTCCAGAGCATCTTTAGGATCAGGGGGAATTCTATTCTCTCCAGCTCGAAGGAGCATCACAAAATCAATAATTTCGTCATATAACTGAATGGCTGCCACATTATTATCATAATAATTTGCAAAGTGTGAACATTCCTTTTTTAATTTCTCTTTCTTGTTCATCTTCAGTTACTAATGAGTTCAAGTTCAAAAGAAATGAAAATCGGTCATTGAGTCCTTGAAAATCACTATCTTATTTCACTATCTTATTTATCCCTCTAATTGGATCCCCCCTCCCCCATTTGGATGCCCGGGGCCACTGCCCCTTCGGCCCCCCCCTCTGCACGCCACTGCTGAATAGTGTACAACATTAAAATTACATTGACATTGTCAACTGGAATGTCAGATCACTTGTAAGAAAAATGTATATACGTACACTTAAAATTTAAATCTTGAGAGTTATCATTAATTGCATTTATGAAGATGAATTATTAGAAACAAAGAAATTATGTTTTTCAGGTGCTCCAATGCTATAGAAACTCAAATTCTAGCAAAGATGTGTAAGTGATGAAGAAAATTTATAGTTTTTATCACATAAAATGACAACTGAAGATAAAATTTTGAGGTTGAGCTCTTCCCAGGAAGACATATTACATTTATGGATTCATGGTACTCTTGTACCTGGGGAAAGCCCTTCATCTGCAAAGGTATGGTCACTTTTGTACAGTCATTTTTATTTCTTTTCTGTGTGGAGTTTTGATGATCCATTCCTAGAATGCACCTTGACTTCTCCTCACAGAAAATACTGCTTTAAAGTGTTACAAAATTTGTTTCAAGTTGTTAATCAGTAGAACTCTCTTAACTTAGCTTGTTAACACTGACTAACAATTTTTAGCCATTATTTCTAGTAAGCAACCCACCAACCATGGGTGCACATTCACTCTTGTCAAATGTTTATCTCAAACATAATATACATTGAGTGGTGTGAATCTCTGTCCAGTGTGCCTTAAGAGTTCACTTTAATCTCTGTTTTAGATACTCAAGTATCCTCGCCTGGGTGTGCACAGGTAACATGCAGTCTTAATAGCCCTCATGTAGTTGATAGGGTTTAATCTTAATAAAACAATGAATGTTTGCCTCACTTGAGACCATTCACGTGCACTGGTTCAGTATAATGGCATAACCTTCCCCTTCCCAGTATTATACATATGTTGGGCAGGTTGCAGGATTTTTTCTGTGTGGTCCTGCTCTATGAATCATGCCCAAGTTTGTTAAAATTCTGCTCAGGTGAACGATTTCAATTACAGTGATATCATGCTTATTGGCTGTTGTGGTGGCCGACAGTAACAAGATGCCCTACCTAAAGATTTCTCTCCTGGCTAGATTGTATTATTAACCTTTAAACTGTCCAAACGTAGATCTATGTTTACACATGTAGCGCTCCAAACGTAGATCACATTTTATTTTTCATTCCTTCAAATTTGGCACAATAGGCTTGAGTTGCCTAGACATGAAAGAATGGGTCTGTGCACTCAATGCGCAGTATTAAAAAATCTGAGAGCACTTAGTACTTTGTGGGAGCACCAGTTCAATTGAGTGCCATCTAGAGCAAATAGCGTGGCAAACAACAGGGATTCACTGATGCCATGTGGCATTAACACTCCCATTTTAAGAGGAAAGTAAAAATAGGTTAGATAAATACACGAGTGATTGTGGGTGGGTGTGAGTTGGACCTGACTAGCTTGTGCTACTAGGTCTGATGTCGTGCTCCTTCCTTCAGTGGATGTGACCTGACTAGGTGGGTCATTGGTCTAAGCCAGGGGGGGACATGGACCTGCCTTGCATGGGCCAGTAGGCCTGCTGCAGTGTTCCTTCTTTCTTATGTATTCGGCTGGCTGGCCGGCTGGCTGGCTAGTCGGCTGGCCGGCTGGCTGGCTGACTTTGGCTGACTTTGGCTGACTTTGGCTGGCTTTGGCTGCCTTTGGCTGTCTATCTGTAGTGGCCCGGTGGCCTGGTGGCTAAAGCTCCCGCTTCACACACGGAGGGCCCGGGTTCGATTCCCGGCGGGTGGAAACATTTCGACACGTTTCCTTACACCTGTTATCCTGTTCACCTAGCAGTAAATAGGTACCTGGGTGTTAGTCGACTGGTGTGGGTCGCATCCTGGGGGACAAGATTAAGGACCCCAATGGAAATAAGTTAGACAGTCCTCGATGACGCACTGACTTTCTTGGGTTATCCTGGGTGGCTAACCCTCCAGGGTTAAAAATCCGAATGAAATCTTATCTCTGTATCTGTCTATATCTCTGTCTATTTGTCTCTCTCTCACATTCACACATATTTACAGTTATTATACATAGTGTGAATTACCTAAGATAACCCAAAAATTCCAGGCAAAGATAGACAGATAGGCAGATAGACAGACAGACAGACAGACAGATAAACAGACAGACAAGACATGTTTGTGTGTAACACTGATAACAAATACAGAGAGGGTTAGCTGGAGCAGTGGGCATTTATTAAATGTCACAGGGCTGTCAACAGTATAGGGTTGCCTTTCATAACAACATGCTTCAAGGTATATGCCAGGGTATCTAAAACATTGTTGGGACCTATAAATACTTTGTATATATTTCTAGACAATAGTAAATAACCCAAGCAGGTGTAAATGCTCACCTGTCAGTGTGATTCTGACTATTTTAGCACTATTTCAGTACCTAATATTAGTGTCAGAACAAAGATTGGCTATGAAATTATGAGAACTGTTATAAATTGTAATTATCAGAACATAAAAAATATATTAATTAAAATAAAAACGAGAAAAAAAGGTACGTATATTGGCAACACTTCTGCAAGCGGCAGGAGTCGATGTTGTCGTCAGGTGAGCATCCAGAGCCAACTAAATGGTCTTATATCTTGGTAAGTACTGACCCTAAATTTTTTTTTAATCCTATAACATGTAGAAAAATGTGCTCTTCATTTTAAAAGAAAAAAAATATATTTTTCAAAATACTATTCGGAGCGCCACGCGAGTGAGCGTAGATCTACATTTGGACAGTTTAAGGGTTAAATGATTTAACTTATGAAGGTGTTGAATTTAACATAAATACTCAACCTTTACTGTTTACTGGGGAAGAAGGTCATGCTTTAGCCACAGCAGAAATAATTGAATGGGCCAATTCCATGGTTACGAGTAAGTTGAGGGTAGAGCTAACCATTGTAAATAGAAATAATAATAGTAATAATAATAATAATGATGATGTTAGGTAAGACACAGATACAACAGTTAGTTATCTTTATTTCGAAATGTTTCGCCTATGCAGTAGGCTTCTTCAGTCGAGTACAGAAAAGTTGATAGAAGCAGAAGAGACGTGAAGACGATGTAATCAGTCCATCACCCTTGAAGTTTTGAGGTGGTCAGTCCCTCAATCTGGAGAAGAGTATTGTTCCATAGTCTGAAACATTGTTTCAGACTGATTACATCGTCTTCACGTCTCTTCTGCTTCTATCAACTTTTCTGTACTCGACTGAAGAAGCCTACTGTGTAGGCAAAACATTTTAAAATAAAGATACAGTGCTCCCTCGTTTTTCGTAGTTAATCCGTTCCTGGAGCTGCTACTATTAACGAAATCTACGATTTGCGAATCAATTTTCCTCATAAGAAATAATGTAAATACAATTAATCCGTTCCTGACACCCAGAAGTATTAAAACAAAAAATTTTTTACATGAAATATATATGTAGTACATAAACAATGCAATGAGAAATGATGAATGAAACATTAATAGCATAACACTTACCTTTATTGGAGATTCTTCTTAGTGTATGGAAGACTGGAGGAGGAGAGAGAGTGGATTGTTTATAGTTTGGAAGGGGAATCCCCTTCCAGCAACACCTCAAGGACCAATTGCTTTTCTGGGGTTGCTTCTCTTCTCTGTTTCTTAATGCCACTAGGACCACCTTGAGAGTCACTGGAGTCCTGTCTCGCAAAATAACTGTCCAGAGAGCTCTGTTTCTGGCGTTTCTTTAAAACTTCCCTAAAATGGGCCAAGACTTTGTCACTGTACATGTTGCCAACATGGCTTGCAACAACCTTGTCAGGGTGATGTTTCTCCATAAATCTTTCCATCTTACCCCACATAGCAAAAATCTCTTTAATTTCTGAAGAAGGCACCTTCTTCCATCTCTCTTCCTCCTCCTCTGCAGCAAGATTCTGAGCTGCAATCTGTTGCTGTTCCTGCTGAAGCTCTTGCAGCTCCTCAGTAGTGAGCTCTTCGTTGTGGTCTTCCACCAATTCTTCTACATCCTCCAAACTCACATCCAACCCCATGGAACTCCCCAGTGCCACAATTGATTTTACAACAGACATAGGCTCATCAGGGTCAGTCCCAAACCCTTCAAAATCCCTCTTGTCGACACATTCTGGCCACAATTTTCTCCAGGCAGAGTTCAAAGTCCTAGTAGTCACACCCTCCCAAGCCATACCTATAAGGGTTATGCAATGGAGGATGCTGAAGTGTTCTCTCCAAAATTCCCTTAGGGTCAAGTGAGTGTCTGTTAACCTGGACCTGGAGTTTACCTGGAGAGAGTTCTGGGGGTCAACGCCCCCGTGGCCCAGTCTGTGACCAGGCCTCCTGGTGGATCAGAGCCTGATCAACCAGGCTGTTGCTGCTGGCTGCACACAAACCAACGTATGAGCCACAGCCCGGCTGGTCAGGAACCTACTTTAGGTGCTTGTCCAGTGCCAGCTTGAAGACTGCCAGGGGTCTGTTGGTAATCCCCCTTATGGATGCTGGGAGGCAGTTGAACAGTCTCGGGCCCCTGACACTTATTGTATGATCTCTTAACGTGCTATGACACCCCCTGCTTTCATTGGGGGGATGGGGCATCGTCTGCCAAGTCTTTTGCTTTCGAAGTGAGTGATTTTCGTGTGCAAGTTCGGTATAGTCCCTTAGGATTTTCCCAGGTGTATATAATCATGTATCTCCCCGCCTGCATTCCAGGGGAATACAGTTTTAGGGAAACCCCAAGCGCTCCCAGTAATTGAGGTGTTTTATCTCCGTTATGCGCGCCGTGAAGGTTCTCTGTACATTTTCTAGGTCCCGCAATTTCACCTGCCCTTGAAAGGGGCTGTTAGTGTTGCAGCAATATTCCAGCCTAGATAGAACAAGTGACCTGAAGAGTGTCATCATGGGCTTGGCCTCCCTAGTTTTGAAGGTTCTCATTATCCATCCTGTCATTTTTCTAGCAGATGCGATTGATACAATGTTATGGTCCTTGAAGGTGAGATCCTCGACATGATCACTCTAGGTCTTCGACGTTGGTGTTTCACTCATTTTGTGGCCAGAATTTTTTTTGTACTCTGATGAAGATTTAATTTCCTCGTGTTTTTCCATATCTGAGTAAATTTAAATTCTCATCGTTGAACTTCATATTGTTTTCTGCAGCCCACTGAAAGATTTGGTTGATGTCTGCCTGGAGCCTTGCAGTGTCTGCAATGGAAGACACTGTCATGCAGATTCGGGTGTCATCTGCAAAGGAAGACACAGTGCTGTGGCTGACATCCTTGTCTATGTCGAATATGAGGATGAGGAACAAGGTGGGAGCGAGTACTGTGCCTTGTGGAACAGAGCTTTTTCACCGTAGCTGCCTCGGACTTTACTCTGTTGACGACTACTCTCTGTGTTCTGTTAGTGAGGAAATTATA